TATGTAACCAGATCTAAGCAAGAAATGCTTTTGTGTAAATGTAGATGCACCTTGGGAACGCCTGCTGACAAGCAGTTAATAGATCTGGATATGCACCCGTGATTTACCTCAGGGCAAGATATTCCATCTTTTCTCTACAGGATAACATCTCACACATGTTATAAGCCTTCCCCACTGAAGTGAAACATTTCCAAGGCATTTTAAAAAGATCACTACTATTTATAGACTCTCAGATAGTAGATTTGAAACACGCTTGTTTTTCCTTGGTAAAAATGAGGAAGTGCCCCTGACATGGATTTAGAGAGAGTGGAGATCCATGTAAGAAAGAAAAAAAGATTTAGTAAAGCCTTGCATTTTAGGGTCAGACCCTAGTGTTGTTGGTTGTTTTTGTCTGGAACCATCTGAAGACATGCTTCTGCTTACTGAATTTCTGTGCAGAGATATTGTAATGGACTCGGGGTCACCAGGAGAAGTTTGCTTATTTGTTTGTTTACTTAATAACATTTATATTGATTGTAATAAAACAAAACCCCTCAAAGCCGTTAATCAATCAAAGCAACTTTCTCCTGGATCAAAATGGGTGATCTTAAGACCTACAAGTGGTTCAGGTACTACTAGCATTGCACCAATTATTACTTATATCTGAACAATAATCCTGTTGTGATTCCTCCTTGGAAACAGAATGTGCCTGTTGTTAGTCATGGTGCGAAACCACGACAAGCTTCACTGACCTAGTAAGTGGTGACTTTAGGACAGTACAGCATCTGAACTTGTGCTATGCTGCCCCTTGGCCAGGGTGACCAAAACTAAACTAATGGTCAATGCACCACTGAAGTTCACATGCTATGCCTTGCTACCTCAGTTGCCTGATCTGCTTGTTCTACCTCAGGCAACTTTATTTACAGCCATATTAACTTGGTCAGATAGATTATGGTTACTAGGCTCGGAAGTGTAAATCTCTTAGCCCTGTTAGCTTGTCACAAACGCTTCCTCCCCCCACAACCACCACGTTGGGAATGAAATACAGCCGAGTGCTCTTTTGCTGAGGAGATCGCCAGAGGACTGGGGAAACTGGGTCAGACACAGCACACCCTTTGATGTGCTGCCTCTCAATCAAATCCCCACCCCCACAAATACACAATCATCTTAGAAACAAGAGCTGAACCTTCCTTTCACTACTGTAGTGTTTCTGGTGGGTACAGACTGAGCTCAAAGGAACATATGTGAGCACAATTCTGCAACACACACAAACACCTCCCTATAATATGCTCTGGGGGGGGGAGCACAAAAGGTACCTTAAAAAAATATTCCCTCTGCTTCCCAAGAGGAAGAATGGAGGGAATTGTGTACCTTTAGCTTGGTAAAGAGGAGACTGAGAGGAGATAAGATAGCCATCTCCAAATATGGAAAGGGCTGTCACATGGAAGATGGAGCAAGCTGTTTTTCTTCTGCTCCACAGGGCACAAGCCAAACCAGTGGATTCAAGTTACATGAAAGGAGATTCCGATTAAACATCAGGAGGAACCTTCTGACAGTAAGAGCTGCTTGACAGTGAAACAGACTCTCATGAGAGATGACAGACTCTTCTTCCTTGGAAGTTTTAAAGCTGAGGTTATATGGTCATCTGTCATGTATGCTTTAGTTGAGATCCCTGCATTGCAAGGGGTTGGACTAGATGACCCTTGGGGCTCTTCCAACTCTACAATTCTACAGTTCTGTAAAGTCACAATGGGCACATTAGGACACCATGGTATATATAGCCCCTGGTTTACTGTGTATGAGCTGATCATGTCAGCTTCATTCCTCCCTATTTCTGCTGGGGAAAACAAACCACAGTCTCTGACCTAGCATTATGGTCAAACCAGGGATCATGGTATGTTGCTCTCCAAACAAGCGACAATTCATAAGCCAAGAACAAACCTTGGCTACAGAAAGTAACGGTAAGCCAAGGATGCAAACCGTAAGTTACGGTTTACTGTGATGTGCAAATGCTACCAGTGGAATTCCATAGAATTTAAATGGTAATAAAATACAATATAAGAAATAAAAGCAACAATAAAAATACAATTAAAAATCACTCAGCATCTTGCACAGCACATTACAATTGCCAAAAGAGATAGAAAATCATTCAGGGATCCACCAAGTCCCTCAACAATCTTGCAAAGGTCCATTGGTGGAAAAATGGTTTGGGAATCACTGTTTGAGGGTATGACATGAAAATCAAGTTGTGTGGAAAAATAATGGCAGCATCTAATCAAACCACCAAGGCATCATCAACTTAAAGTATGTGCTGAATCTTACCACTGGAGAAATCTTCCATGTGCCATGAAGTATATTTCATTTCAGAAAATGGCCCTGTTTTACCATTAAGTCAAGGTGAGTTACCCCCAAATCTGTTCCCTGAGCTGGGCAAACATTCAAGGACAGCAAATAGCACACTACACAGTGTATTATGGTATCTTTTACCACCAGGGGAGTCATTCTAATTTTCTTCCTCTGCTACCAAAATGTGTTGGACCTATGCTAAGAACAGTTTGCTCTGATGTGTGTAGACGAATTGCATTGCACTAATGGACTCTTAATATTCTGCCCATCTGACTACAACTTTGTAATCAGGTTACCACCAGAATTCTGTCTCCTCTCCAAAAGAACACTCTATGAACGTAAGATCTGTGGTGTGTAAACACAATGCAACTGTATACTAGTTTTATCGGCTGTGAAAGCCAGGTTACTAACTCCAAGTCAGTGTTGCAAATCTCATATCAAAATTCCCATTAAAAAAAACAAATTAGATGCACACTTCAATGTACATGAAGCACTCTTGGCTTTGGTTTGATTTTTGCTGTTCTCGAGCTAGTAAGTTTGCAACCTTTCAGGTGTCCCAAGGATGAAAGAAATATGAATAAGCTCCTTGTCTTTGCTGCATTGCTTTCATGGAAGACTCTTATCTACTTATATTTGTAAGGTGACTCCATCAGTAAATATAAAAAGTGTCTGGAGAAGACCTTTTAATCATGGAGATAACTGTTTATGATAGCTGTCTTCTGTTAATTAACTTGCATATTCACCTTCACTTAATGTTGCCTGCAGGGGATTCCTAGTAGAAAAATGCTTCTGCATCCTGGCAGCAGTGAAATCTGCCTGTTTAGTAATCACTAGCTATTATCCGTGCCATCAGCAAAAAAATGTTCTAAATGTGTGTTTTTTTAAAAGGAAGACATTGGATTGAATCCAGACCTGCTGTTCTGCAAATGGCAGGGCTCCTTCCGTTCATGGCTCAGAACAAGCAGCAGGAGGAGATATCTGCCAGTTTCCCCTGCAGACCACAACACCTCCCATGCTGTTCCAGAGAGCCCTCCAACCCTCTGGAGCAAATATTTTTTTGGTTCCAGGGGCTGAAAAAGGGAAGGGGGAATCTCTCTTTGGTCCACAGGAGTAATCCATTCAGTGGAATTTTGTTCTCTGCAACTCAGAAGCTACAACGGTTAGTGTCCAAAGTTCCATAAAAGCTTTTTAGTGTGCTGTACTGCATAAAAGAACTGGATTTGCCACAGGCAGTCTGAGCTGAAATCCTGATTCATAAACAAGCATTCTGGCTGAGTGGGCTTGCAAAGTCATGATGAGCCTAGGCCCCCTCTCATCTGCAAAATGGGATCACTATGAAATACGATAACCTCCACAGGGTCATCCTCCATCCTTATGTCATAAGGATGGCATAATTGGACATAAAATACATGTAATAATTCACTGAATCTATATCTAGTTTAAAAGGGGGTATTAATATAGCACAGCAAAGCTTAAGTAATCATTTAGACAATCATTTAGAGAAACCTGAATGAACTGAAAACCATTTTATCTATTCAGTAGAATCAAGTGGTAATCCTTTATTTGGTCTGTAGCACTTCAGGGGATGGCGTATTTGAATGTTCTCCTGTATATAAAAATATACTCTAAACATATGGATGCAAATCTAGCGTAACAGAGAGAAACCGAATTCATTTGCTTGACACCTTCAAGCTGTTTGACAAAATAAACTGGGTTCTGAATTGAGTGGTTTGTTTTCCTGCTGTAGTGCTAAAATATTTAATGTCTACATCTTTCCTTTTTTTCATTCGTAGACACATGGGAAACATTAGTACAGAATGCTTGCGGTTTGTCCCATCATAGGGCCAAACCATAGAATCTATCACATGGATACTGTCCTGAACATTCATAGTAGGATTGGGAAACTATAGTTTCTAAGGTTGCTAGCAACCCTGGATTCAGTCACCAGGAAACCCTGCTGGATCAGGCAAATGGCTCATCTGGTTCGGCATCCTATTCTCACAGGGGCCAACCTATGAGAACCTGCCTATGGGAAAACTGCATGCAGGACCCAAGCACAAGAACATGCTCCCTGTCCTGGGGTTTCCAGCAACTGGTATTCAGAAGCATACTGCATCCGACCATGGAGGCAGATCATAGCCATCATGGCTCGCAGTCACTGGTAGACTTGTCTTCCATGAATTTGTCTAATCCTCTTTGAAAGCCATCTGAGTTAGTGGCCATCACTGCCTCCTGTGGGAGCGAGTTCCGTGGTTTAACTATGTGTTGCATAAATAGCTACTTTCTTTTGTCTGCCCTGAATCTTCCAACATTCAGCTTCATTGGGTGTCCACAAGTTCTAATGTTATCAGAGGCGGAGACAAAAAAAACCCTCTCTCTATCCACTTTCTCTATGCCAGGCATAATTTTACAAACTTTTATCATGCCACCTCTTACTTACCTTTTCTCAAAAGTAAAAAATAAAATCCCAAATGCTGCAACCTTTCTTCATAGAGGAGTTACTCCGACCCCTTGATCGTTTTGGTTGCCGTTTTCAGAACCTTTTCCAACTCTATCACTGTCCATTTATTCCTGCTCTATGCTCCCCGCAACTTAACCAATTCCTGATCCACAAGAGGTCCCCTCCTCTTATTCCATGACATCTAAGCCTACTCAAGAGTCTAGGTACACAATGTGAACCAGATCATCTCTCAATATATTGGTGAACAATAAACAAACAAAAAAAATGCAGACTCACATGGTGCGTAGAACATCACTAAAACAGAAGGATGCTCCTTGGTGAACTTGTCAAAGTCATCATCTGTTAGGTGATAAACAGCATTATCTTCTTCTGACCAGGGAGTCTCTGGGGCCTGTGGCTTAGGTGGCTGAGGACTAGAAACAAACAGGTAAAATTTAGAAGATGCTACAAGGAGAAAAATAGCAGCTGCCTTCACAAACTGGATCTTAAGAAATTAAAATGATTCTGTATGTGCTAACTTGATGAAGAGGTTACCTATTCTAAGAGGGTAGCCACTCCCCATGCCCACCCACCCCGATGGCAGAACAGTTTGCGGGGGGTGGGTGAGAGGAAAGGGGAGATTGTTATGTCTGCTGACCCAAAATGCTCGCACTGATGGAACAATAACAACAGTGGAATGCTGGATTCCTCCCATCATTTCCCCACCCTTGCTGCTATGATCTTAAATTTATGATGAGTTGTAACAAAAGGAACAAATACTGAAGGTTTTGCATAATCCAATTAAGGTTAAAGATAATGAAATGAAATTAAGGTAGAGGACAACACTGTTTGCTTTGTCAATATAAAATAATAATAATGGGTGTTTGAATATTAAATACCATTGAAGAGTTTTATCCTACCAGTGTAGTGCCACCAAAATTAAAGACATCAAATAGAGTACCCTCCAGCTTACACTCAAACTACGGTACTTATTTTGCCCCCAAGTTCTAGAACTCTGATGAGTCACAAAGATGCCTCTCCCTTTAAACACTTGAAAAAAATGTGTTTGTTTACTCAGTATTGTTTACCTTCTGTCTCTTACAGTAAAATACTAAGCACATGGAGTACCTACTACTCAATGTGGCTAGTGGACTTCACGTTATTATCAGAGCTGCTGCTGCTTTCTGGGTTGGATTTCCAAAACTTTCCTGGCAATTCAATTTCATGTTTTCAGCCAGAACCGCAGCATCCTTGGCAATTTTAGGATTCCAATTGTGCACAAGTGGTTTGGACCGTTTACAATAAAATTGTTCAAAGAGTATTAGTTCCTTCAAATCACTAAAAGTACTTTAAGAAGGCAGGGACTGTCCCCTCTTGCAAGGAGTCATTAATTCTTCTGATTAAGCTATATATAGATCTTGTTATACAAAACAAATAAAATGAGGTAAAGCAGCCTTGGAGCAGCCTTTTCTCCTTTCTCTTTATATCTGTCCCCAAGGCAGGGTGCTTTTTGGAGACAGAAAAAATGCAGCTGGACTTGAAAAGTATGCAGGAGGACAACAGAAACCTGCGGTGTTAGGCCGCCCCCCCACCCCACCCCCCCGCCAATCCCGAATGTATTTTGAATTCAGGAATTTCATATCTTCAGCTTTTTTGCAAAAGGGAAATCAGTTATCAGTCTGCCTTTTGCACCCTCAGAGCACAATCATCACAAATTATTGGTTTTTCATGCCACTCACATGCAGTAATAAGGCAGGTGCCCCAATGAAATAAACAGAGATTCTGTGTTCACAAGTCCTTTGAGAATCAGGGCTGATAAAAGCATTATTAAAAAAAAAAAGAACCCCCCTCTCCCCCCCCACTATCAGCCTCTAACAGGAGGCTGAATGTTATTTGTTATTTGTTCCTGTTGTTATTTGTTCCTGTTGTTCTTTTTAATTAGGTTTATTATTTCCCATATAGTGCCTACATATGTTGTCCCATTATTCAATTACACTTTCCAGGCCTTCTTGAGTCACTGCCACAGAGCACTGGACTACCCCATATTACAGACTCCGTTGAGTAATTCATTACTATGCCTATGTGCGGGTCTTACACTGTATACAAATTATAACTGCAACCTCAATTATGGACAGCTTCCAACTAAAGCACGGCTTCTGAATAAGAATTCCTCTCCCTGCCCCTCCGCCCCCCGCAGCATATTGATTTCTTTTAGGGGAGGGAAGAAAAGCGGCTGCATCACTTTGCCTTCTGGGAAATTATTAAGTGTGCATTGGAAATTAATTGAGGACAAACAGCTGTCTTTAGCTCTGGACGACTGAAATATCAGCCAAAGCCCAGAGTGGCTTGTTAGCAGAGATTATCACTGGGAAGAGTCCGCAGCTGTTCTGCTTTACCTTCAGTAGCTGTCGCAGCACTGATATAAAAGCACTGCATATTGCAGGGATTATCAGACTATAATGTAGGCAGATTGGAGGGAAGAAAAGGGGAGGGGGGCTCCAGACACTTCTAATGTTTCACATGTGGTAGCCAAGAGATAAGGGCCTCCACACAGAGCCAAAAGGCAAAGAGAAAAGCTACAGGTGATGAAGGCACACATCATTGCTAAGGGGCGGTGGAAGAAATGCTATCTCTCTTCCGCTCGCGGGTGCTGCTTTCTTAACAGACCAAGAGCGACATTAATTCTAAGGGCAAAATTTCCTTCCTTGATTCACACAGTAGGTACTCAATGTGTTGAGTATTCTACTGTAAGAGACAGCAGCCTGAATGCCATACAATGTCACTGAACCATGACGCCTCCAGCTCTGTTAAACACCTGCCTCATCCCATCTACAAAGCTCTTTAGCCAAACAATTGGTTATTGGACACATACCCCCTGCCCTGCGCTCCCAGTATCCTAGGACGTACAGTCTCCACAGGTACAATAATCACTGTTTCCACTGACAATTTAGCAACCTATTTACATGGATTCAGCGGCTACATAAGTTTGTTCCTTCGTGGCTATACCTGGAAGTGCACAAGGCAAGACTGTAAACACCTAGGGATGCCCATGTACATTTTCGCAAAATGAGAGGTGGAAAAGCAAAAGATGAGAGCATGATTAAATTAGGAAAGATTCCACAACTGTCCACCCAATGATTTGAGAGGGATCAAAAGATTGTGATGCTGCTGAAACATTACAACAGTTAAGAACATGAGCTATGAACTAGATGTGTCCATGCAAACAGGAACTCTTGGAGTTGCCTAAGTCAACGTCACTGTCTTCTCAATCTCACCTCTACTCTCCAGTCTCTAGTTTGGGAATAGCAACAACAGCCTCTACTGCAGGAGATTATTAGGATAAGCAAAAGGATGCATATGAAGAGCTCTGAGTACTTTATATAAATTCTTTTTCTAAGTAGTAGCATTACCATCGTCCAACACCCCCATCCTTACCCCACCACAGCAGATCTGCCTACACAGTCCAGATCACAATGCACTATTCTCCATGAGCCTGCAGAGCAAACGGTCCCAAAGAAAGACAGGTAGGAAACCAAACATGTAGACATGTCAAGGCACAGGAGCAGCAAGTGCAGGCAGTATACAAAAGCCCATTGATGGACTTCAGTGGCTCATACATTGTGGAGCAAAGCACACAATGAAAGGCAACACACAGAACAGTAATAAAGAAAGACGCTTTATACAGAGTCGGAGCATTGGGTACATGTAGCTCGGTACTGTTGACATGGACTGCCAGTGGCACTCCATGGTTTCAGACATCAGTCCTGGGGATTGAACCTGAGAACTTTAGCATACAAAGCAGATAATCTAGCACTAAGCTATGGCTCTTCCTCAAAGGCTGCCATGAAATGGTGTGAACAAGCCCATAAGTTCTTGCATGCTTTCTGTAATTTATGCTTTATTTTCAGTCCAACACCAAATTATAGTTTTCCTCCGATAAATATGAAACAGCTTCACTAACGATGCTCAAGACCTTGCCCCAAGGTCCCAGTGTCAATCAATTCTGCTTAGGTCAGATTTTTCTATCTCAATCAAGCATCAAACTTGCCAAACCTATAAATATATGCCAGTGTTTGCTGCATTTTGTTCCATAATCAAAAACTAAAATATCCAGCTATGCTGAACACAACATTAGATACTAAAAGCAAGAACTCTAGTGTCATCCTATGAATCCTGTCTTGCCTCTCAATCTGGGTCATCATTCCTACACACCACTGAGTCTGTCTCCTTTCCCTGGTAAAAGATACTGGAACAAAAGATTCACAATCTCTCAGTCAGAGCCATTTCAAATTGTCTGATAACAGAGGTGTCCACAACAAGGGAATGAAAATTTTAAAGTCTGAGGTCAAAAATGAAGGTTTTGACACAGATCAATGGCATCCTTCCGATGTCCAGAAAAGATAATAGGAGAATTGCAACAGGGAAGATACTGCAAATATGAAATAGAAAGCATGGAAACTGAAGCAAACAACCCAGGTTCATCTTTAATAGTTCAGTGTGATGCTTTTATTTGCTTTTGGAGTAGCGATGAAGATGCTTCTATTTGCAAGGTGTGATACTGTTTATTCAAAATGCAGTTCTCAAAGATGTAGGAGATACACTTCAGACACTTACTCTTTCAGCCATTCAATGATGTCCTTTGCTGTAGCACCATAGTTCTCAAAGTTGAACAGGAATTTTCCCTTTCTATAAATGCAACAAAACAAGGTTTGAAATACAGGAAAACCAACAAAATACATGATTGGTGTTGCCATTATCTACATGCAGAATAAGCAGAGACTTACTCAAAGTAGCAAATGGTTGGGTATCCCCTGACATTGTATTCTTCTTTTATTTTTTCAAATTCAGCTGAGTAGACATTCATCCCTGCAAGTACCTGTAACGACAGAACCAGAAGTCTTACACCAGAAGCAGAAGCGTCTTTCGAAGCTGTATTTTATTGCAGTACCGATTATATTGTATAGGAATCTCTGCTTGCTAATAAAGCCACAGAAAAGTTTAACACATAAAAGCCAATAAAACCACGGTGGCGGTTCTCACCACCATGGGCTCATCAGGGCAAGAATTGATAGGTCTTTTTTTTAAAAAAAACCAAAATGCTCTGCCATGTGTGATGGGGCTTACCATTCTCCGTTACAGTAGAGAATGAATTGTGTGCTCATATAGGATTTGAAGGCAGGAAAAGTTGGGGATTCTTTTTGATTCAAGCCATAAATCATTTACATAGATTATACAGTACGGATGGAGAACCTGCAGCCCTCTAGATATTGCTGGACTACAACTCCCATCACTCAACTATTGGTCATGCTGTATGGGGCTGGTAGGAGTTGGACTCCTACAATGTCAGGAGGATCACAGATTTTTTTATTCCTGCTATGGTAGGAGGAGCTTCCTCCTCATGCAGAAGCTTGGGAATAGAGAAGGGGGAAACAGTTTGCAGTGGGGCGTGGGGTGGGGAAGCATAGACATACATGGCTCATTGATGCCTAGAATCAGAGGCCCAGGGATCATTTTTAAGTGGTCTGAAATGCACTGGCTACTTCGAGAGCCCTTGTCTTTCAGCTGCTCACCTCTCTTCCACGTGTACTGTAAGTGTCCATTAACAAAGATGCTCTCTTTTTCTCTCATAAGAGACAGTGCGAACATCTCACAGATGACCTCAAGAGAAAATGCTTATTTCAAAAGCCTATTATATATTAGCCTGTTAATGGATTCCTTTTTATTATTAATCAGGAACACCAAAGGAAACCCCATGTGAAGTTCACTGTGCCATTAACATGGAAAAATAGAAGGGGAAATGGGCCCTACTTAGGAAACACTGATGGTCTTTTCACATATTATGCAGGGGGGTGGGGGAAACTTTTTTGTTACTTGAATGTCCAGTTCCAGCTCTTTTATTTGTACCTGTATGATGCATGTATTTGCAATTACGAATTTGTAATGTTCAGACCACATTTTTCTTGATGTACACAAAAAAAGGTAACGCTTGTAAAGATCCTCAGAATCGGAGTGGTTTAGTGGGCAGAGTATTGGGCTTGGACCGAGGAAGTCAGGAGTCAAACCTCTGTTCAGCTATGAAGCAATCTGGGTGGCAATAAATTGCTACCTCTCAGCCTAAGATACCCCAGGGGACTGCTGCAAAGAGTCAGTGTGGTGTAGCAGGTCAAGTATCGACCTAAGACTGAGGAAACCAAGATTCAACAAAAACTCCACGCAGTCATGAAACTTACTGGGTGATCTTGGGCCAGCTACTATCGCTCATCCTAACCTACCTCCATGCATATAAAATTTGATCACCCGAGTGGAAGTTCACCATTACAAACACTCCAGCCAGGGGAATGAGCAGACCTTCTTGAGCTTGCTCATTTTTCATACCTGCTTGGAAACACTACTGCTAGAATATACTTTGGAGCCTTGCCTACAGCCACAGCTCTTTAATTTATCTTCACAGCTGCAGGCCTGGTGCCAGGCTCATCTTTTACTGAAAAGGGAGCAGACTTTTGCCCTGAAGGATGAGGAATACTAGAAAAAGGCATTTGGATACAGAGCTTGTGACTTGCCATCCTCTGCTCAGAACAATAAACTACCAACTCTGCTCCTCCAAAGCCCCAAGCACTTTTAAAATGAAACTACTCAGAGGATTGGACTGCCTCTCTCTGGGTCTAAGATTTAGACGCAAGTCATCTTGTAGCTATATTCCTCAATGGCCAGTTGCTGAAGATACAACTGGAAGATTAACTCTTGATTAATAACACTGAAGGCTAAAATCCCTTTAGCAGCACAGTGCTAATCTAACTGCATCCACTTCACCCTCCCCATCCAAAAGCAGGATTTTTCTTTCACATAAAATGCTGCTCAGACCAAATGTGCTTGGAGGTAGTGTGAAATAAATCTTAAAGCAGACCGTTCCCTTCAGAAGGTCAGCTGTTGCTCAGAAAGCATTAGGGCTTTTTATATATATACATAAATAACAAAAACAAACCTACACACAGAGTCTTGGTCTTTCCCCAACCCTTATCCACCATACTGAGACATCAACACCTACTTTGAAGAACATCAAACGGATTAACGGGGAAACCCTTACATCAGCAACCTCTGCATTACAGATTCATGAGGTTGCTTTTACCAACTAAGCAATTCCCTGCTTCTACTCAAGAGCTTTCAGTCTTGTGTTGTGTATATAATTCCTATCTGGAGAAGAGTGCTAAGAAAGAGGGGGCAGCCCCTCTCCACTCCCCCTCTCCGCCCCAGTTTTATGCCTCATGCAAAAAGGGGCAAGACTGCAGGGCAACTTCTTGAAATTTTGTTCATTTTACAACATAGAGCTGGCAAGGCATCAACTTGCCTAGGTGGGGGCGGGGAGGGAGGATAACCTTTCCCCCATGAAATCTACAGTAAACACAGTCCTAAAAGCCTCACCGCTTGTATTCACCCCACAGTCTCCTATCATTATGTGGGGCAAATGGAGCTCTCCCCAGCCTCCATCAAGAAAATGGGCTATAGATATGACGATGCAGCTAGAGTGCGTATGGGCACTACATCTCTCCCAATAGGTAAAGGTACCCCTGACTGTTAGGTCCAGTTGCGGAAGACTCTGGGGTTGTGTGCTCATCTCACTTTACTGGCTGAGGGAGCCGGCATTTGTCCACAGACAGCTTCCGGGTCATGTGGCCAGCATGACTAAGCCGCTTCTGTCGAACCGGAGCAGTGCAAGGAAACGCTGTTTACCTTCCAGCCAGAGCGGTAACTATTTATCTACTTGCACTTTGACGTGCTTTCAAACTGCTAGGTTGGCAGGAGCTGGGACTGAACAACGGGAGCTCATCCCGTCGCGGAGATTTGAACCGCTGACCTTCCGATCGGCAAGCCCTAGGCTCAGTGGTTTAGACCACAGCACCACCCGCGTCCCCATCTCTCCTAATATTTAGCTACAATTAACTGTCAGTGGCAAGCACCATGTGGACAGAGGGCATGAAAACAATATTAGGTACTGATCAATATTTATTACCCAACAGTACAACTACCAAAGTGAATACTGTCTCTTGGATTATGATTCTTTGAAGGTATTTCATGACTATGTTTTGTATTGTCAGTTTCTTTGACTTCTTTGAAGGAAAAAATGGGTTGCTATTTATAAACTAAATATGGTAAGATCTGTCTGCATGTTGCAATAGTTGTACAGAAAGGACAGAAAACACCCACACACATGAAGCTGCACAGAAACAAAAACAAAACACCAGAACATTCATTAGTCTTGCAGCTCCTCTCACTTACATACATGCCTTTAACTTCTGTGGATGCTTGCTGGAAAGATGGCATCATTCTTTTGCAAACACCACACCCTAATATATGAGAGAGAGAGAGAGAGAGAGAGAGAGAGAGAGAGAGAGAGAGAGAGAGAATTAATGACACCATTAAATGCATCTGCATGGACATCAAATGAAAAACACCCCTACATTTCCTGTCATTTCCACTGAGTTAGAGCTAGGGAACTTACAACTTAAAACACACTGAATTATTCTTGACTTGCCAAGGTCCAAATTTTAGGCATCTCCCATTGGCCCTATATTCTAAAGCCTTGTACACCTGAGGCGGACCCCAAAATGGTGCCCCTCTCCTCTCCAGGGAAGAAGGGGAAAAGTGGGGGGAGGCAGATTGACATTGGGATTTGCTGCCCCAGTGGATCCTGCCACCCGAGGCAGTAGCTTCACCTTGTCTTGTGGGTGGGCTGGCTCCACGTATGTCTCTTTGATGGCTTGTTTTAACTGCAATTGCTTTTTGTTTTTATAAATGCCATACAGCCGTGCCACATCATTTAAACCACAGCATTCTGATTGGTATCTCAAATGCTGTATCTTATTCCCCACTTCACAATACTCTCCACATCATGTTGGAAGTGGTATATGCAAATCTCTTATATCAGCTCCAATTTCCTTCCAGTGAGAAAGCAAAAACTAGCCTTTGTAACTGAAATGTCTAGTGTTGCAATGATGATATTGGGGAAGATAAAAACTGGACAAGTACGAATCTCTCCCCTACCCAATATAAAAAAGAGTTAAGTTTTGAAACTTGCAAGAATCCAGCTATATCAATTTTGTACACTGAAGAAGTCGTCTTTGGATCTTGCCAAGCAACAACAAAACCAAGCCAGAGTCTCTATTAACCAAATATGTCCTAATTCTACCTAAGACCCATTGTGACAAGAAGAATATAGGACTTAAGGGGGCCTATGCTGGAATGATATAGTTAGCTGAGCCTACACATGTCTAGTGATAGGTACAGAATCCATAAAACTAGACTTACTGGAATCAAAGTAGAACTCAGAAATCTTCAAAAAGGACTCTGTAACCTAAGTTCAGTTAGGTGCTTAGAGTTAGAGATATATAAACCCTTATTTTCATAGCCATTATTTTGTATCAACCTTCTTTTATCTTGTTTTTAATTCACTATTGATCTGTTTGCAGTGGTTTAGTCATCTTGTTAAATCCATTTTGCTTTATTTGGCTGAGTAACTGCTTTGCTTATTGTGCACGGGTTCAATTCCGAGCTCAAGGCCTCCAAAGCAACCCAGGGTACGCTAATAGGCTCTACAGGCTTAATTTAGACGAGACAAGCCATAGGAATTTAACTGAAGCACCTTTCATCAAATTAAGCACACAGAGATCAAAAAACAAGCAATGGCAATGTTGGCATGATTACTAAGAATAGTGGTAATTCAAAGAGCCACCTTCATTAGGACCCAGAAGCTTATGATGCCAGACTTTGAAGACTTGTCAGTAAAAGAGAGAATGCAGCCAAGTCATCATCTGGCTGTGGAATGCTAGAAACTACATGCATACAATGTTGAACAAATCAAAATCACCTTGCAAACTGGCACTTTCTTCTAATACTAAACAGAACACTGTGGGAGTAGGAAGCAGAAGTTCTTACACAAAGGATGGATACTGACTAAACTGAGTGACTTCTTGGACCATATAGCCTAGCAGCCTGCATCTGCTGCTCAGTATAGAAGGCAAGCCAGAAAATCCGCCTTTGCAGTCTGAATAGCCTAAAATAGATCAATCCCACGCAATAAGTTTTTGTTAACATTATTGGCTTATTCTAGCACAGGTAAAGGAATGTCCTAAGCCTTGACATGTCCCAACTGTTGTCTGTAGGACATTCAAATCTTCCTGATCTTTTCACCACTGTCTTGTGACCTCTCCTTTCTATAAATCTTAAAACAAAACAAGGTTACTGGATACTGCTTGAATCCTAAGCAGTCCACTTCTCCCTCCCGGTACACTTTTATACACATACACACACTTAAAAGACATGCAACAAAAAACCAAAACATTACCAAAAAAAAACCCCAAATAACCCTATACCTTTGTCATTGCTAGCAGTCAACATTTACATTCTCATAAGTTTGCACAGCATTTCCTAATTGGCATGTTTTGTTGGCACACATCTTTCCAAAGGCCTTTGTGTTTGAGGTGCTCATCTCTGATTAACCTGATTGTTTATGTGCCTACTAAAACTATCCCATACCACATTAAAAAGTGTCGTGATTTGTGTTACCTCATAAAGCCACACTGAAACATGCTATTTTTCCAGCTAATACTATACCCCACATGATTTAATACCATAACTCGTAGTAACACACCTGCATTTTTCGCCATTCCAAGTCTAGATGTTACTAATGGTATAATGATTAGACCCTTGGTCATTAGATTTTTATTTGGCCTGACAAACAAATGACATAGAGCTACTTATGGGTCTAGGTGGACACCACTTGCTTCATGATGACAGTTCTTCATGGATGTGATGTCAGAAAAGCTGCACTACTGGACACAGCCACCATATGTGTAAATAAGTCCAAAAACTCTTACACTCCCTTAATCACTCTGCAGAACTGGCTCCTGTGATTTTAGATTCTCACTTCTTTTCTGGATGAGTCACCTATAGATCTTAGTACTAACTGTTTCTTTATGTATTAGATCTAATCTCATGATTACAGTAGTCAGCCTCTCACTCTCTACATTTCTAACCTTTAAATACACTATGTTTCTCTTGTAACCATTTTCACTGAATTGCAGACCATTGTACAGGAAAGCCCTGAGAACAATTCTTTCTCAAAGAATTTCCTCACTTAATTTGTTCACACACCTCTCCTGTTGCAACAGTGTGATATTTAGAATCCACACTGGATTTTTGTGTGGCTTATCTTCAGCAATTCTCATTATTATGTTGCACTTTTCATCTGAAAGGAGAGGAGGCCCTTCCTGAAAGAAGTCATCTTGGCTGGAAGCAGCTCAGCCCCACCTTCCACCCACACTTTCAAGTACTTCTCCACAAACAAGAGCAGGCAAATCAGAAGCCAACAATATATAAATATATTTGTAAGAGGAGACCTTTGTAAGCATCTTTAGTTTACTAGACTTCAATTAGTGGTTTAATTTTTGTCTTGGGTATATCCAGAACACCAGCAGATCAATCTGTCTATGCTAAAAGTTATAAAATTGAATGAAAACTGGGGAGGGAGAGAAAAATGTTAAAAGCTGCTAAAATAGTAATTCGGCTCCTCCACAGCCATTTAGAAACAAGGAAAATATTGCTGCCTCAAATGTTTTCCTGCTTCAAAGGAAAGAAAACTGGAAGGAGGCAGAACAGCAGTGTGTCTAGGGGGGGATAGTTCAAACCGACGGAAGGGTCAGATGATGTACGTTGAAGAAAAATACTTTGTTGTTAAAAACAAAAAAGTTACTTGCTAGAGAGTAATAGTATGAAAGTGTTCTGATGCTATGGACTCTCCCTGAATGAATGATTTACAGGCCTAAAGCAGGCTTGAGAGCTTCAAACCGATATAAAACAGCAGGCGGTTGCATTACATCCTGCGAGCCAGAAAACAGCGGCCATTCAGAGATAACCCAAAAACTCTGCTGTGTTTGCAGAAGTTTAAAAGTAGGCTTGTTAAGAGTAAATCTGCGTGGTTGAAAAACATGCCATCACATATAATTGTCAGGGAGCCATAGGCAACAGCAGCCTTAACAATAAAGGGAGCCAGCATTCTAGAGAACACTCACTCAAGGAACAAACTGGAGATTGTGAAACATGAGTCTGAGCAAAAGCCACTGCACTGGAAGGGGTGAGCCATGTACTGCAACACCAACTTCATATGCAACAAGCATAGGATGGTTTCCTTTCTACAACTAATCTACTCTCTTTGGTGATCAGTGGCTAAAATGCAGTAGTATTCAGCCTTGAAAAGGTGAAAACAATACTAGCAGCTATTCTACATGTCATCTGAAAGAGCCATAAAACAGCAATAGACAGAGGGAGGATACATACATATCCTCATGAGGATGAGTAGTAGTAGTAGTAATCCCTGGCCCATCTGATTGAGTTGCCCCAGCCTCTCTGTGCGGCTTCTAAAAGAATCAGCAGCCCCGCCCCACCTCGCTCCAACTGCCTGCGGAGATCATATGTTAGGGTGTCCAGAGCCGTCTCGGTCCCATGACCAGAGCAGAAGCCGGACTTGAATGGATCCAGAGCCTATATTTCATCCAGAAATCCACCAGATATACTCTTATTTAGCCATATTTACCGTATCCTATACTTAATTGTTCCAACTTGCCCTTTTTAACAAAAAGTAATAGGCATGCACTGGTATAAGTAGGAAAAGCCTTTGAATATGGAATGATACAAATATTACTAGGAGCCACTTTACACATCAGCTGTGTTTGCCAAGGAAACACCAGTGCTTCTCACAATCCATGTATAATGGATGAATTGAGATGGTTTTAGGTCTATACCAGTGGCTCTCAAACTTTTTTATCTGGGCCACTTTCAGAATGAAAATTTGCTCACACCACACCAATTTTTTTTTTAACTGATAATAAATTGTAAAACAAAAACAAAACAACTCCTAGCAGTGCTTGATTTGTAACATAGAACTAGAGTTGCCATACGTCTGGATTCCCTAGATATTGCCGGGATTTCAAAGGCGGAAGTGGCATCCGGGGGGAATTTCCGGAAGGTGGCGGTTTGTCCTGGAATTTAGGCAAGCAAACCGAAAAATCGCTTTTTGTGTGTGTTGCAACAATTTTGGGGTCCTCCTAAGAAAAGCTCCTGGTTTTTACTTTTTGAAATATGGCAACCCTAATAGAACACAACTACTTTATAACATGATAATGGGACAGCCATAAAGTATTAAACAATGCAGCTACATAAGAACATGAATCACTCTCAAAATGAAATTGTATACAAGTTTCTTTGATTGTTGTTGAATCTTCCCACCACACTAGATATCCTCTCCCGTCACACCAGTGTGGTGCACCACACCCTTTGAGGACCACTGGTCTATTGCATTCAATATAATGAAAAGATTCTATTTCTCATGTTCAATACAGTCTCTATTTCATTTAACAAGGTTTCAAATGACAAAAGCAATTATGTTCATATCTACCCACCCCACGACAATAGCCAGTAGTGGGAGAGAAATGTGGGTGCAAACTGAATAGCAATAGGCAAAACAACAAGCCACTAACATTCTGCCAGATGATAGATGGAAGTAAATCTTGCAGTAGATGAATAATGAACAAGTTCAAGATTGTACCTCAAAGGCATGTCTTTTTAGATGGGCAGTTTGGACATATTCACAGCTAATAAATTAAACCTCTAGATTCCAGTTCAGACCCTTAGGTTCTGAGTAGTAGATGGGAAGAGAAAAGTACTTGTGACATGCAAGTCTTTCTTAATAAAGATAATGAGTCCAGTTATCTGTGAGCCTGCAATGGCATGTGTTCATATCTAAAGCGATGGGTTGCATCTGACCTGCACATGAACTTCCTGTTGGGATCCAGGCCCTCAATGATTCTAATGGTGATCCATCTGATATTGACCTTAAGCTTCCCCTACATCCTCCTTTATTGGTTGATTACTTTGAGCCAGCAACATCTGCCTAGGAATATTTAAACCCACCAGAAAAGGGAAATTGGAGAGGGAGAAGGGAAACTCCCTATTAATCTCTCTGAGGAAGGTGAATAACTAGACTGTAGATCTTGGACTGGCAGCTCAGATATCTCTGTTGAGAATCTGTATCAACCCAGCCACCACCCAAAGCTGTCCATTCCCTTAGAGGGTTCAGTGCAAGGTCATTCACAGTGCACAACTAAAATCAGAGCATTGTCTCTATATTGATTGCAGTTTCACTGGCAGGGTTCTTGTAGACATCAGTCTCTAATAAAGTTTGAAAGCTAAGGAACCAACAGCTGCTGTCACTGGGAGCTATCCAAGGTCCTGTGCCACTTAATTCTTGCGAGCTCCCTGCTAATCAAGATCAGCTTCTTCTGACTTTGTCCAGCAACTTGCAAACTCAGCCAGGCCGGAACAGTACAGCTCCCTTTGTGTGGTCAGTCTATTTGTTATAATGGTGGGTCGATATGAATTCACATCCATTCATTTTTCAGATGGATTAAGGCTGGAGCAAAGAATGTTTGGGATCTGGTACCTCAGGCTTTCTAAACTCAGTTTTTAGAACTGAGAGTACATATATGCACTATAACGGCAAGTCTAGCCAAGTGTTTTTCCTCTCTCAATAATTTAAGGAGAGTGCTCCTAGAGAAAGCAAATATCTGAAATATTCTTGTGCTATACTGTCAGCATTTACACTGAAATTTGGAGAACTGAGCTAGGAAGAATATGAAGTGGAAAAAATCATCTGCTAATTGATAACCATATGGAAATCACATACACATGAAATTGAATTTAACAGACAGTCCAGATTTTACTGGACCATATGATGAAAAAAAGGGGGGGACAAGGATTTGAGATCTTGCATATTAGATTACTTCCAGGGGGCACAGAACATCAGCATATTAATTACTTACAGGGGGCATAGAACATCAGCAGCAGAGGCCTATCTTCCTTCTTCAAAAGTCTTTTCAGTTCCTTAAAACCCAAAGAGATAAACATGCTATAATTAGAACCCTGAATTTAAGAACAATATATCCCCACAGATTTCAGGTAAAATTTCCAAGTACATATAGTCTGGATTACATGTGTCAATATATGGAGTAAGGATTGGTCTGTGTTAGGGGCTTGAATAACAGAATTTACTGTGCCAAATTTAAGGCCAACAGGTTGATGAATTGGAGGAATTGGCTGCATTTAGATGATAATCCAAGTAGGGGTATTGATAAGGCCCTGGGTCTTTTACACGACGTCCCTTCTCTCTTTTTTTAAAAAAAATTACAAAACTTTTAAAAACTTGCTTACAGGACGTGTAATGGGTTTATGCCTTTTAATAACATAGTGATACCTCCATATCCAAGGTTTCAAACCCATGTTTTATGAGCAATCGAACATGGCCACTATTCACCCACATTAATGAGGCCAGATTTACAAATGAAGCAAACACATTGTTTTCCTGCTGATATGTTTTCATAAATGCATATAATCCAAAATAAATTAATGGGACAAGCTTCCAGTGGGATTTACTCAAAAGGGGTTTATTCAGAACATTTAAGATATATCTCATCTGTGCTGATGGATTTATGAGCAACTTTACACCCGCATTGGATTTTTCTTCTTTGTGTGTTCTCATCACTGTATTTTACCCTATTTAAAGTGTTACATTATGACTTTTTTGTTGCTGTAGTTATAAGCTTCCTAGAATATTCTTTAGGGAACCCATCAAATTTGGTTGTTTTCTTCACCCCTTTCTCAGCTTTATAGCCAAGAGAATATGGAGCTGAAGGGTATTTAAAAGTAGATACAAACATAATTTTCTCTTCCAACTTTCTAGTTCAGCTAACTCACAAAAAAGCTAACCAAGGCCTACTTCAGATGTAATAGGAAACCATGATTTCCTGCTAAGTGGATGAACTGCAGCTAGCCTCTCACTCCTGCAAACCCCTTTTCTCCTTTGTGTCCAAAATGGAGAAGACTGGAAGCAACTGCTTCTAGGTTCAAACTAATCACAATTCCCTGTGACATCAGGATTCAGGGAGCTACAATTTGTTTGAACTGTATCTGTGGTGTTTTTTTTAATGCAAATACAAGTCAGAGTCTGAAACCACAGTTTCATCCTGACTTTCCCCCACTAAATCACTGTTTAAATGAACTACAGCCACCCAAGTTTCAACATCACAGGGAACCATAGCTTGTTTAAAATTGAAAACGGAAGATTTCACTTTCCCTCTCATGAGCACAAAAGGGGAAGCACGTGAGCCTAGGTTTCACCATGGGTTGTGCAAATATCAGGAAAGTGTATCTAAATTGGGCTGGGAAAATAAAGATGTTGTTCTCACAGGAGCCACCAGGGGAAGCCTATGTGGTACCCTCCATGTGTCGCTGGACTACAATTCCCATTAGCCCCAACCATCATGTCCAGTGGTCAATGGTGATGGGAGTTGTAGTTCAACAACTACATGGAAGGCACCATGTTGTCTACCCTTACAGTACTTTCTATCCAGAAACTGCCAAGTAACTGTCAAAAAATAGACAAGTATTATAAATTAGATGAGGTATGCACCTCTGGTTGATTACCCCAGAACCACAGGACTGTTTTCTTAAATGAAACAGGCACCCCACTTTTATTAAGGACAGAAAAATCTGCTTGTTTCCTTTCAACACAAACCAATCCAGGGCTATGAGAGACTATAAGGATGGATTTTTCAGAGCCAGTATGATTAGAAAGGCAAGATGAAAATTTTAAATTGAAAATGACCCCAGGAGAGATTGTAATAGAGAACAGAAAGGTGAACATTAAAAATTAATCTTCTTACAAAAAATGAATGCCAAAGTAACTGTTCCTAATACCAGAATGAAAGCTAAGAAACTGAAATGACTCTATGAAATACCAGCCAGAGACCAATCAATTAAAATTTAAAATCAATAGGGTGGGTGGGAGGGAATACAACACACATTGCTCAGAGTTTACCAAGAAAGAGGAGGAAGCAGAACGATGAAGCTAAATTTCTGCAACAAAAGTAGGTGTATGATTTAGGACTGTTCTCTGCTTTTATGAATTAAAGGTAAAGGTAAAGGTACCCCTGCCCGTATGGGCCAGTCTTGCCAGACTCTAGGGTTGTGCGCTCATCTCACTCTATAGGCCGGGAGCCAGCGCTGTCCGGAGACACTTCCGGGTCACGTGGCCAGCGTGACAAGCTGCATCTGGCGAGCCAGCGCAGCACACGGAACGCCGTTTACCTTCCCGCTGGTAAGCGGTCCCTATTTATCTACTTGCACCCGAAGGTGCTTTCAAACTGCTAGGTTGGCAGGTGCTGGGACCGAACGATGGGAGCACAGTCCACTGCGGGGATTCGAACCGCTGACCTTTCGATCGGCAAGTCCTAGGCGCTGAGGCTTAGCTGCTATTAAATCAAAATAATTTGATGGCTAGGGAAGCCTTGCTGGGCTTAAACAGCCTCTATTTGCTGCATGTGAGATCTCAGATAACCTCACTATCCCTTGCCATAGTCCTCATTTGCCCACATTAAGACTGAACACGGGGACGCGGGTGGCGCTGTGGGTAAAACTTCAGTGCCTAGGACTTGCCGATCGTATGGTCGGCGGTTTGAATCCCCGCGGCAGGGTGAGCTCCCGTCTTTCGGTCCCAGCTCCTGCCCACCTAGCAGTTCGAAAGCATCCCTAAGTGCAAGTAGATAAATAGGTACCGCTTTATAGCGGGAAGGTAAACAGCGTTTCCGTGTGATGTGCTGGTGCTGGTTCGTCAGAGCAGCTTCGTCACGCTGGCCACGTGACCCGCAAGTGTCTCTGGACAGCGCTGGCTCCCGGCCTCTTAAGTGAGATGAGCGCACAACCCTAGAGTCGGACACGACTGGCCCGTACGGGGCAGGGGGTACCTTTAAGACTGAACACACCATCATACATAGTTTTCCCATTGGTCTTATAGTGTCCTGCAACTCAAAGGGCTTTATCATGACCCTTAAATATCTGCCAGTGATTCAAACCTGTAATCTAAATTTTGGTTACCATGCCAGTCCCTCCACGGCTTTTAAAAAGGATGGCACGAGAGCACTCTGGGGAGTAGTCGTTTTCCTATTCTGTCACTTAGGTCAATTAGTACCTTGCCAAAAAAACTAATTCTGCTCCAGTTAAAATATTAATTGTGGATTCTATATTTTATCTCAACATGTTACAATCCAAAATGTTCCAACCAACCCCTGTGGTATGACTCAGAACCCATTTCCCATGGGATAATCCAAACAGAGGAATATTCCCATGTTTAAGATGTTTGATCCATTTTAATTCACGTTCTGTTGTATCCTAAGGATTTGCTGATTACATATACCAATTTTGAACTTCATATATAAAAAAATTTAAAGTGCGTTTGCATCCTTAAACAATTTACCATTTGAACCATCACTTCTATAAAGGTCAGGGTGATAGTCAGTAGTCCATCTGTAGGAGCACAGCACAGCCTTCAATGAAATCAGCCTGCGCTCCACCACTAAGCAACAAGCCTTGGCTTTTCACCCATTCCTCATTCTATCTCCATTTAAACTGGATCATATCACCCATTTAATCACAGCCTTCAATGATTAATATGCTCATTTTGCTCAGCCTTGATGATGTTCAATTCAAAACTGTAACCTGTTGTAAAAACCTAAAGGGTTATCATACTACTTATACCATAAAGATTTATAATGATGCCAGAACCAACAGGTGTGCCGAGCATAAACAAATTAATGAAGTACTAGAAGTCTGAGGGCTTTGCTTATGTGATACCCACGTGATACCCAACCATTTATCACAACCATTCCATGTTGTAAATATCAGTGCAACTACCCCACAAGCCAAGTAGAAAACTGTAAAGTTCAAGGAACTATCAGCTGGGAGAGCACAAGTTATATTTGGTGCCTAGAGTGGCTGATGCAGTTAAGGCATGCTGCAAGGGGGTATGCACAACAGGCAATTGCAAAGCATCTCTCTCATGTCCCGTGCAACTTCCTTGGTGCCCTTAAAGCATATTAGCTTACGGAACATGGAGCTCTGCTAAACATCCCTTCCAAAAATTTATAAGCTTAAGAGTAACAACATTTCCCTGATTTTCTCAAGCTCATGTGAGTGCAAAGGGTTCTGCATTCAGTATGTGCAGGAGTTAATTTTGTGGAAGAACTTTGTTTTGTTCCAAGCACTTCACAATTCTGGTTAACGTACCTTTTCACTGTCAATGTGGACAATGTCTTTGGCTTCAGGATCTTCCTCCCACAATGGAGCTCCTTCTGGATCCTTTAGAAAGGCCACCATTGACTGCACAGAAATGGAAAGACAAACGTTTTTAACCCCACGACAGAACTATCACCAATCCATGGAATGCTGACTTTGCCATTCTACTTCCAGTAACAACATTCATTGGTTCACCCTTGCACTTCAGACTTATTTAAAAAATAAAAAGAAACCCAAGCAGCAAAGTTTTTAAACAGATTCCAGAAAACTTTGGCATGATGATTTTTTAAAAAACAACACTTTTTAAAAAACAACAAGTGAATATTGTTCTGGAAAGCAAGCAAAACAAATTCATTTCTGACTAGTTTGCTATAAATGACAGAAGCCTACCAAATTGCTCTCAGATGTTTGGGATGGGGGAAATTTATTTCCCCCAAACCATACAACCATACAAACCAATTAAAAAAAAAAATCTAATAAAGTGCTGCTGCCCCTCCCAATTGTTCTGAAACCAAATAAAAAAGATAGGGAAACAGTTTTTAAACCTAGGAAAAATAAGGAGGAAATTAATAGGAAGGAATTAACTCTGATATGGATTGGACAAATGGGGTGTGAGATGTATAAAATGAGGTGGGAGCTGCAAGTTGCCTGCCTGTGATCTATGTTGCGTGGCGAGTTCCCGCCTCCCCCCAGTAGGAATAAAGACTCACGACACCATTATTTTAGGTTAATGGGCTAAAATTGGGCTAAATGGGCTAAAACACCAGCAGGGGAGTCCTGCTGATGCACATCAACTAGGAACTCCCCCGGGGTCACCGCTTGGGGGCGTGCCTTAGCCCTCACCTCCATAGGCTTCAGACAGGTGGGTGGGAAGGACGGGTGGGTGGGAAACCGGAGCAGCTGAGCGGCAAAAGAGGGAGATCCCCGGCCACGCCTGCATTAAACAGCGCAGGCCACACCCCCTGGGCCAGCCAATTGGCTGGCCAGGGGATGACGCGGCCAAGGATTCCCCTAATCGCGTGGAGGCTGAAAGCCAGCCTCCACGCGTGTGGTGGGGGTGTGAAGCCCGCAACACCACCTCCTCCCTAGGTCGGAAGTGGCTTTATCCCACTGCTGTTAATAGCTTCTAAATATCTCCCATGCAAAAGAACAATACTATGCCTGCTGTGTTCTAATGTGAGGTTGCCATATTTTAAAAAGTGAAAAATTGGACACAAAATGGGTATGCCCAGCATAACTGGATCGAAGAGAGGAGGACCAAAGGGAGCAGAGATAATGTCTTCTTCAAATTCCATGGAAATCTAAAGGTGCAGCTTGTAACTTTTTAATGAAAAGCTGGATCCACAAGCAGGAGGACCCCAGGCAATCTTCCCTAACAACCCAGCTTTCAATATTTTTGTTTCCTTCTATTTTCAGTAGGTCATCAGCACAGTCCTATGCAAGTTTATTCTTAAGACCTATTGTATTCAGTAGAGCTTTCTGTCAAGTTTGCATAGAGTTACACCCTTAGACGTAGTGTGTGAGGCTCCCTCACCAGTTAAGAGTGCTGGGAAAGTATTCCAGACACCAGAGAGATATCAGGCTTGTTTCCCTCCTGCCCAGCATAGGAACCCTGTGTGTTTTAGTGTGCAGTTAAGCCCCACACCCCTGTTAAATGAAACAAACAGACAGTTTGTTTGTTTCAACTAGCTTAGTAAATTCCTAGCATATTTAGCAGGTGTTTGAACAGCACTGGCTTTCTCTTTTTATCTAACTGCCAAAACTAACATAAGCTACTACACATGAAGAAAAACAAACAGGAAACACTGATTGCAACGCACACCAGAAACATGAAACAGTGTGCTGCCATATATGTGGTTTTGCCAGTGCTGAACTTTCCAGTGACAGACCGCAACAGTCTAAGTGGATAAATCTGCTCCACTTTACATAAAATTAGGTCCACAAATCTGGGAGCTGGACATTTGTGTATATAGCAGACCTACAACTTACGCAGGGTTTACGTTCCAGGGATTGTGTCTAAAGCCAAAATCACGTATGGCCAAAACCTACTGGGTTCAATGGCGGGTGGGATTGCCAAAGTCATTTCCCCCCAGAACCTCACCTCCTTTGTAATTCCTCCCCACACACATGCGTAAAACTGAATGCACACAAGTTAAATGTGTGCAAGTTGTGGGCTCATTGTACATCACACCTCTTGATTCTTTTTCCTAACAGAGGCTCAGAATGAAGCTTGAGGAACTATTCTCAAAACCTGGAATTTAGTTTTCAGGCGAGGCCCTCCAAACATTGATGGGCTACAAGTGTCACCATCCATGACTATTGGCCAGGCTGGCTGGGGCTGATGGGAGTTGTAGTTCAACAACATCTGGAGAACCACAGAAAAGTTCCCAACCCTGGTTTTCAAACTAGTTTGTGATGCTGTTGGAGAAGGGAGGGGTGAAGGGAGGGAGAAATTCCAAAGCTCTGCTTGCACATATGAAAGGGTTTCTGTGTGCTTAAGAGGGCTCTTTGGATTGCAGCCCAGGAAAGAAAGAGTGCTGGGAGCAGCGTGGCAGCCTCATTAGAACAGCACACCCCACCTTACTGCCAAATGCATTTTCATATTGTCTTAAAATGTAACATAGCAGATCTAGAGAGCTTTGTTCGCTATTACTGATGTACTGCAAAACGAAGTGTTAAGTTAAATCTGTTAACAGTTTTTAAAATCTACACACACTTGAAGCAGCAGGGTCACAGAAAACAGGAATACCCGATTAAAAACAAAACATGTTCTGAGATACACATACCTAAATATAAAACAATATTAAATAATCTGCTATTTTCATGTGTTCTAAGCCTTCTCGGCATTACTGAACAGGCTGCTTCTGTTTCCTTCGCTACCCGTCGTATTGTACTAGTTAATTTTTAATTTAGGGATTAGGGAGCCAGATTTTTTTAAAAAAAATATTGCATAAGTAACTAGTTATTTTAGGCACTTTATGAATAAAATGGAAGATGATGATGAGTGTCTTTTTAATGTCTATTCTCCAATGCAGCAACATTTCCTGTGGCCTAATTGTATAGTGACAAAGGTTCCTAAGGACTGATCCACACTTACCTTTCTTCCGCGCTTTCCAGGAACTTTAAAGCTCCATGTTTGATTGAGCACCCCTTTTTATTTTGTTCCAGGGCTTTCCCCGTGAAAACCCATGCTTTAAAGCTATTCGGGTTTACTGAGGATTGCCACCTCAAATGGCTTTGCAGGGGGTCTAGGCAAGTTACTAGATGAGAAGTCTATCAATCAGTGTTAGCTGACTAGGACTTTGGCAGTATGCCACTGAATACCAGTTGCTGGGAAGCAGCAGCAGCAGCAACAGGGAAGGGCAGTTGCCTTCATTCCCTGCTAGTGGGCTTTCAGGACGTTTATGGTTGGTCATTTTAGGAAGCAAGGTCACCAACAAGATGGACCTTGGTTTCATCCAATAGGAATCTCTTTATGGGCAACAACTGCCACTCGCATTTCCATTTTAGCCTCTATTATTGCTGCGTAAACACAAACTACATCTATTTCCATAAGAATAAATCCACCTTTTGATTGATTTTATATTCATAATTTTATGGGAGGGATTTAATAACTGAATGGCTATTTTATTGTGGTCTGCCCAGTGAGCATTTATTGATTCAAAGGTGCTGTAGGCATTTGAAAAAACAATTTGACTAAAAGGGAGGGGAAACAGCCCAAATGCTTGACCATAACCTTTTATGATAACTTCTGGAAGCAGTCAGGTTCACAAGCATGTTAACCACATCTTGTCAAGCTCTTCTGCATGCTTATTTTAAAGATGCCTCCTATTAGTTTGACATGTCATATTTTTTCATCATATTCTCCCCCGAGAAGAAGACAACAGCTAGCTTTGGGGGAAAGCCCTACTTCTGGGCATGGAGTCAGATTCTAAACTTTATATTCAGAGGAGGAGGAGAGGGGCCTTGTGCAAGCCTGTTTCCATCATTTTAAAAAAATGGAAACAGAAAAGGAAGAGGGAGACAGTCAGTAGATAACACACCAGATGGGAAATATCAATCCCAGTGGCAGCCAATGAAAGCAACTCCTGAGGGAAGGCAGAAACACACACACACACTCCGCTCTTTTCTGCTTGGCAGAAGCCAGCCAGAGGCTGCCAGGAGTGCTTGGGCTGATGCTGTACAGGCACCTGCCTAAGAGCACCTAGCTCCAACAATGCCTAGAGCAGCTTTCCCTCCTAGGGCAGCTGAGGAGAATGCAGGTGCCGTCCCTCTGGAACAGGGAAGAGACTTTCACTGCTTCTAAACCCCATAAGGAATGTGTAGTTTGCGAACACTTTCCAACCAACTGATTAATAACACACATACACACACACTCAGTAATTAGAACAACTTATGGAATCATTTTACACATCATTTGGGAAGACAGGCTAATGACACACTAATATCAGTGTATTGGAAGAAGCAAAGATCACCAGTGTTGAAACAATGATTCTTCAACATCAACTTTGTTGGACTGGTCATGTTGTGCGGATGCCTGATGATCGTCTTCCAAAGCAACTACTCTATTCCGAACTTAAAAATGGAAAGCGTAATGCTGGTGGTGAACAAAAGAGGTTTAAAGACTGTCTCAAGGCAAATCTAAAAAAATGTAGTATAAACACTGACAACTGGGAAACACTGGCCTGTGAGCCAGTTGGAGAACAGCCTTTACCAAAGGTGTCATGGGTTTTGAAGACACCAGAACTCAGGACGCAAGGGAGAAATGTGCTAAGAGGAAGGCATGCTTGGCAAATCCACACCGTGATCAACTCCTGCCCGGAAACCAATGTCCCCACTGTGGAAGGATATGTGGATCCAGAACTGGCCTCTACAGTCACTTACGGACTCATTGTGTAACCGTGTTTATGGAAGACAATCTTACTCGGCTACGAGTGATCGCCAAAGAAGAAGAAGAAATTTGTTAATGAAGTACAATCTGCAAAATGTGGTAGCAGTTGCAAAACTAAGTCTCCTCTAATAAGGCAGGAGGAATCAGTGTTGAGACACTGATGAGTGGCAGTTGCCACTAGCTTCAATAATGATGCTCAAATCTCGTAACTGCCACCGTACTGTGAACTATGAGCAAGCCAGGGTCTGTGCAGATAAATTTATCTGTTTTGTTCTGTTATAAAGACCAGAAAGAGAGAAATTTATGCAAAGCTTCACAATTTATTCACTTTGTATAATGTCTGGGTTATGCACTGCTGGCTCCCCTCCCCTATAATGTTTCCTCTTAGTAATTCTTCCCAAGGCAAACAGCGCCAAACACTTCAGCCTCCTCTTATAGGGAAGGTTCCCAAATACTTCCAAAACTAAATATAACTTATTTTTGTTGAATCTATTCTGTCATTTTGAGTCCCTCCAATGACTTTTGGGGAAATCCTCTAAGTGCTGGAGAAGGTTGAAGGAAACACACCAGGTGAATTCAACTGAGTATCATTCGATTTGTCATTTTTTTAAGGCTCTTCTGGAGTTTAAAAACGCCTCCTACAATCATTTCAGGAACAGAGCCAAGACCTCCTGAGGTCACTTTTGTGAACAAAGCTTTTTCTTAAGCCACCATGAGGAAAGGCCTCCTATTCTAGGAGTATTCTCTGGTGTTCTCTAGGATACCCCTTTTCTCTGAAAGCTGCTTCAAAGGGCACTTCTCCTTTTGCTCTGTGCAGTCTATTATGGCCGTGCAACAAAAGAAAAGGAGGCCAGTTTACCAATGCTGTGCGCTGGGCATCTACCTAGGACTTTAGTCCATGGTTGCAATCATATCTGAGAAAAGGCCACTTCCTCTCTTTTCCAAGCTCATCTCATGGCAGATGAAATAGAAGGGGAGAGCATTTTCCCAATCACTGCCAGGGTAATGCTATTAGATACAAGCTGGCATCAAAAGGGATCTTGCAGCAAGACAAAAATAATTTACAACACACATACTAAATAAAAAACCCACTTTATTTGTTAGCAGATTGCAACGAAGTTCACAATTTATATTGCAATTTAACAGTGTCTCCATCTAGTTAATCACACACAGCTTTGCAGGATGTTTGCCTGGCAGATGTGCAGGAGATATGAGAATGGAGAGAAACCCTTTAGGTCACCCAAACAGCTGTTCCTGAAATGTATGGGGGGGAACCATCCAAATATAAAGCTGTAAGCATTAACATCTGTTCTACACCCAAACACATCTCCCTGTTCGGAAGATCTCAAACTACTGTAAATTTACCTTCAGTGTGAGTGCTCTGTTATATTCAGTGTGAAATGCGCCATCCCTGTCAAGAAACAGTATGGGGAAAAACAGCAATTAATTTTAGGAGTGCTATTAGAAAATCATGCAGCTGTTTCCTCTGGTCTGGATAAATTAAGTTTTCCTCAGCTTGCAGGGCTGTGGAAAACACAGCCATCGAAAACAAGTTCTTGAAGCAACCAGGTCTCTAATGGGCAATCACTTCCACAAAGCCTTAATGAGAGCATTTAGCACAGGCTAGACTTGGGGAGTGGCAGTTTCAGGGGGCAGTTCTATTTGCAACAATGCACAGCTATATTTATGCATGTTGGTTCCTGAAGAACAAAAAACAATCACATGCTAAAGTCTCCTGAAATCAGTCAGCTGGGAAACCAGCCTCCAACTGATTTAGGGAACACAGGTAGGGACTGTCTCATTAAAAAGAATTATGACGGAATACTAGAAGAGGAGACAACACTTTCTTTAAGTATGGGTGTAATTTTTCAGGGGGTAATTTCTTCCCCAAACTCATCTGCCTTAAAAACATCCCTTCTGATCCCTAATAATAATAATGTGACGAGTTTTTCTATTTCTCTCAGGCCAGGCAGATGGGGGAGGGTTAATTTTCAACTCTTAATGCTGACCCAGACTACTAATATTAATAACAGTGTATTATTTAATCACACACACATTTTTATTCAGGGAACTCTCCTGAGTATTTAACATGGTCTTTGAAATTCACAACAAAACTTACATTAACTATGTATGCACCAGTAGATACAGCGCAATTATGTCTAGGAGTTTACAATTTTACTTGCCACTTTTGTGGCTCAGAAAGCCTCTTGGGTAAGTCCTAGGCTTACTTCAAAGCTTGAAGCTGCGAGGGGGAAGGGAATGACCCTGCTCCTCCTTGCCTCCACAGTTCAGAGGAGGCTTGGGATGTGTTTTGGATCCAGCTCCAAGCTAGAAGGAGAGGCAGGTGTCTTGACATCTGCATTTGACAGGGGCTTCAACTGCCTAGCAAACATACAGACAAAGCAAGCCTGTCCACTTCCCTCCAACTCTAAACCGGAGGGGGTTGAAGGCTTGCTTTCCCATTGCACGGAACTCTGAACCCTCCTCCAGGTTTGGGATTGGGACAGAAATTGTCTCCGATCTTGTGCTGCATTTCAGATGTATGGTGCAAGGTCAGAACAAAACCCCAACTGTTGAGGAAGGTGCATGGTTCCGGCAACTGCAAGAGATAAACAAAAGCATTTAATATTCTTAAATATTAGCAAGCACTAAGATCTTAGTGGGACCGAGTGCACCAACAGAAATTAGCTTTCAGCCACCAGCTCATCATAGCCAACCCATACCATGTTGCCTGCCCATTAAATGTCCATTAGCAGCCCAATTTTGGAATGCAGTACATATGAAAATTATTATCTCTGCCTTACGAGCTTTTGTTATTTTTGCATAGCCACTCTGGGCTGTATGGGGAGGGGTAGTACCTCTGGTGGGAGACATATTGTGCTCCTTCTGGGGCAGTTTGTCCACCTTTGGTCCCCACTCTGCACTCAGCTCTCACCTGTGGCTCCTAGAAGCTGTCTGCATGCAACAGCAGCTACATCCTGGGAAATGGCTTTGACTGGCTGGCTAAATCAGGTGAGGGTAGCCGATGGGCCTCAAACCCTCGTTGATTTAGGGGCTTGCCCTGCATACAAAGACAGGCTCCGGTGGATTGACCAGACAAGACCAATAGTGGGTCCAATAGCCAAGAAGGCGGTTCCTGCACATGCTGTAGAGGGAAGTGAGGGACAGATGGGGCTCATAAACCTGGGAAGGTATCCCATCTAGGAAAAGGAAAACACTGATACTAAACCTCTGCTGCCTTGCAGGGTATATTCAGGAGAAGATAAAGCCAATGGCAGCACAGCCACTCTCAACACATTATGTTGCACTCCTTGACAATCTTAGATAGGATTGTAATTAAGCAGTATATAAATTGTCTCAACAAATAAAATAAAAACCCGTTCTTGCACTTACTTGTAATGCAATAACTCTACCCCTTTCTCCTTCAAACTAGGGTCAACTTTCATCTTCTTGCATAGTTTTCTGCTCTCTGAATCACTGCAAGAAAAACAAACAAAAGCATTTGATATATTTTTAAAAATATTACACAACATTAACTACATGTGAACAATTCTAGTTTAGCACCTCTGCCGTAATTACTGATAATTTAACCTAGGACACGCAGCAGCATGGGACTGCAACATTCAGGGATGCTTTAGTTGGATTCCTGCACTGCAGGAGGTAAAACTAGATGACCCTTGGGGTCCCTCCCAACTACAGTTCTATAATTCTATGATGCAACCCTAAACACACTTAGCAAGCTGCACTGAGCAGAGTGGGACTTACTTCCAAGTCAATACTCAGTGTTAGAATAGCTGGGTGCAGCCCTGATAGCACTTCTTTCTGCCAGCCTTCTCCTTAATGATTCAGTTGCTAAGAGTTACAGCCAAAGGCAGCCCCGTCCCACACTTCCAAATCATAGCACAAGGCAGGAGGGGTGGACAGACTTACTCAGCAACACCAACCCACAGTTTTCTGTAGCAACCAAGCCCATGTCAACCTTCCCAGCCCAGAATGTGCCCCACAACATGAAAATAAAAAGAATGCAACACAGCCACAAATCTGCAGAATGATTAAAACGCGAAAAGCTCTGAAATTGGCTTCTCTGGGAAACAGACAAGATTAACATCTAAAAGGACACCATAAAACGGCTGGAATGCCATGAATGAAATCCCGGGGAACATTTTACACATTTCCCAATACATAAATTTGTCACAAAGTTAATTGAGCAAGCAAGAGCTGCAACAGGCTAATGAAGGAGCAGAGAAATGCACTCACACAGGAATCTTTCTCATGCTACTGCACCACGTCTCTTTATCTCATGGCAGCAGTTGGTGGCACAGGTGATTGCAGTATGATTCAACTGCTCTTTCTGTTTCTGTCTCTTTAAATCTATGGGTGACATTTATTATTTAGTTTTACTACTTGCCTCAAAAAAAATATCTCCAGGTGATGTTCAAGTTTAATATATATATGGGTAAAAACAAGGTCCACTTTTCCTCTCCTGCTAAATCTGCTCTGGAGGGTTAGATGAGTCCTAAGGACAGGTTTAGGGGGCACATGGTAGGAGGAGGAGGAAGTTCTGTTTGTTAGTGGATCTTATTTCCTGTATTCATATACCGCAGTTTGTGCTATGTTGAATTCCACCCAATACAGTGGTACCTCGGGTTAAGAACTTAATTCGTTCTGGAGGTCTGTTCTTAACCTGAAACTTAACCTGAGGTACCACTTTAGCTAATGGGGCCTCCCGCTGCCGCCACACGATTTCTGTTCTCATCCTGAAGCAAAGTTCTTAACCCGAGGTACTATTTCTGGGTTAGCAGAGTCTGTAACCTGAAGCGTCTGTAACCTGAGGTACCACTGTACAGTAGAATTGAACTTTCGAATCCTAAACAAACCTTCAAATCCAAGTTTGGAAGAAGAAAAAGAAGACAGGAAAATCATTTCACACATGGAAACAGTCAAAAATACACCATACACTGGGGGTGTTAAAAGTGTGTGGGGAGGGGACCTCCCATTGTGCCAGTGCAAATCTTTGCACTGAGGTCACAGTTACGTAGCACTGCACTGGCTACAAGCCAAAGTTAATTAAACGGTCACTTATATCTGTAAGGTCACTGATGGATACAAGCTATGTACCCCCCAAGCTATGAATTTGATCATTTAGAAGAAGTGCAATCCCATCCAGAGCAGGCTGAACCCTGCTCATCTGGAGAGAGGAAGTACTTATTCACAGAGCTAACCTCAGCTTGTTATTCTCATGTTGTCCTTTACCCTAGCCTAGCGCATTCAGCACTTCATGTGGTTTTAATGAAAAGTTCAGTGTCACCCACATGCTGGCAACAACTCACTTCAAATCCCCAAATGACTATGCTCAGCAGTTTCATGTAGATGTTAAAAAGAATGGGAGATACGATAGACCCTGCAGGACCCTGTGGCACAAGCACCATTGAGTTAAGTAGAAATCTCCCATCACCACCTTCTGGAAATGGTCATCCAGATACAAGCAGAGCCACTGCAACACATTACCACCCAGCCCCATGGAAAATGTATTTCTAGCTTTCACACCCGGCCTGAAGTACTAGGAAAATATTGGGATATATCTGCTGAAAATGCCTACATTGTCAGAAGTATTATTGGTAGCATCCCTGAAACTACTCAAAGAATATACAAACATCAGATAAATAGTCACAACCTGTACAAGGAGCTTAACAATAGGTCAGTAGGTAAATGAATCGTAGGAGGCAACAAGAAGAAATGATGTACAGTATGAAGGTGTTGAAGAAGCCAGTAGTGGCATCGCGTAGACATCACAAACACCCTGCATTTGCCTGAGAACACAGACACATGCAATTATATTTGTACATGTGTGAAGGGTATGCGACACCAGGGAAAATAAACTAAAATAGAATGAACTGAAGAAGTAACATATAAAGAAATACAGAGAGATATTGGGGGGGGGGTTAGGCACAAAGTATAACCAGACAGTAAACAATATCAAATGCAGATCCTAACCTATTTGTTCACTAAGGCTTAATTTCTAGAATCTAGATGGTATGCTGAGCATTCCTGGAGGCCAATACAGAACAAGAGCCATGAAGATCTCTCCTTTGGGTGGGTGTCGGGGGCATGAGGGCTAATGATTATAATTGGCAATGATGAAGTTCCACCCAGTCTATTCTTATGGGATACTGGGAGAAAGTGGGGTGGGAGTGGTGGCTGCAATGCTTTCTTCTAAAGAACACTACCACTCATATATTCTACATGAGATATATAAAGACCAGAGAGGATGTGCCTCTATTGGAATTAGAACCCACCTCATCAGTTTTCCCACACGAATGCTCCTAAGCATTCTCAGCAGCAGACCACACAGTCCCACAGAACATGTGGACAAACTGAGGGCAAAAAGGATCTGTGCTTTAATGCCCATATAAGATTAAAACTTATTTGGGCTCTGCTTCAGGCAGCAAAATGTCTTGGGCCGGAACTGCTTTAATCTCCACTGACTTTGTGGATAACAGCTGGTTATGGATAAATCCTGGCTAATACCAAATCCTTGTTAAGGTTGGCCCTGACATAAGGCCAGTAGAAGAAAATATGGGATAATTCGCCCAAGAGGCTGGTATAATCCTGCAGCCTAGCCTGGAAGTATTATATCTTAGACTGGCACAAAGTGGCAGGATGAAGAGCATTAATAGCAGGGCCAAAGACGGAAGAGGCATCTTCAAAGATTCTTGGATCAAGTCAAACTGAAAGGCACATGCATCTGCGCACCAATGTGCCAGCATGGACTGAAATTGCTGAGCACACATTCAACACTTGAGAAATGAGGAACTGATTAGGGCCATTCCCTACACGAAGTGCTGCTTTTGCGGTTGCTGGCATTCCTGTTAATTCTCTCGACATTTTCAAGCTGTCTTTACGGCAAATGTGAAGAATGAACAATAAATAAATTAGCACTATGTTGCAGATAAGACGGGAGAGCTTGGGTGAGAAGAGTTCAGCACATACCCTGCAGATGGTAGTTAGTCTGAGCAGGAAGACTATAGCATATAGAAACGCATGATAATCAGCGGTCTGGCATGCACTGGCATTAGCATTTTAAAGCACTAACTAGCAAAACTAAGGCACTAAGACAGACTTCCTCACTTAAAGGTGAACGCTTTCACCCATTAAAGCAAAGCTTGCAATCTTGCCAAGGCAATGGCTTCTCACATATAGTGCATGCCAGACCACACGGTCATCAGAAAGTAACAGCTGACGCTGGCTAAAACATCATCCTGTCCAACACAGACCTCCACGAATTATGCAGTGTTGTACACACTGTGATGGTGGCCCATCACAAACTTCCACCTTTTTCTTAGATCTGCTAGGGCACCAGGTGATTCCTTAAGCAGCAGATGTTACCACCAGTACTAAAGTCAGCTTTATGAGGCTGATCTCATTATCATCTTAAAATGTGGAAACAAGGAGGAAACCATGTAGTTCCAGTACACTGTGCAAATCGTCTCTTTAAAGCCCCCCAATTAAATACTACACACACAGTTAAAGTTAACTTTTCACCAGTGTAATTTAAAATACACAGAGACTCACTCACACCAGGGTTGAGAGATTGTGAGCAAGTGGGGGGAACAGGGGAGAAGAGCAGCTGTTTAACCCTTTCTTTCTTGGCACTTTATTTTCCTGCTCAAAATCACCACCTCCCCCAAAGCATGATTTATGCTTTTCCTCTATAGACAGGGAACAGAAGTTGAGAGAATTTAAGTGCCAGTGGAAAGTGCTAAGCAGCTTCGTCCCTACCATTATTCTGCTTAAACACAGTTGCCTGACACTTCTTGATTTTTTAAGCTGGTAGTGGGGTGATAAAACACATGGCTGCACATACTAACTAGTTTCCGTCTAAGATCAGTATTGCAGACCCAATGGAGGTGTACTTTGTACTGAAGGAGTACGGTAGATCACGGGAGAAGCCATTTTGTCCCCTCTCTCGTCTAATGCCTTATGAGACTGTCCCAGTGCCATCTTTGAATGTGGTGGATCAGCAGTAGTGCATGGCTACTGGGCAGCCACCCAAAGCATCTCTTATCATTTTCAATTACATCCCAGAATGAGACAAGTCATTCAATATTTCCAATCACTGGGTTAGTTCCAAAGGTTTCCTTCGACATGTGGGAGCTTCTTTCCATCCTCAGAAGGGCTGTTTTACAACTTGTACTAGAGCACTACATGAGAAAACCAAAATCAAATATATTATTTTACTTGATGCAAACGGAAGCAAAACAACTGCTATAAAACCTAGCCAATTTTAGCACTACACAAATAATTCCATCAGCACCTGTGCAAGTGTTTGCTAAACAGTGCAAGCAGCTATTTTCCTGTATCTTTGAATCCTACTCCTTTAATTTGAAAAGAAGTCACAGCTGTGCTGACTTTAACTGCTAAATATATAGCAATTTAGCGCCCACAGAAGCAGTTGAGGCCCAAATCAATGCCTAATT